GAGACCAATACTCTCTGTGGCCTGCTTAAATTAATATACAACAGGCTGGATTATTTATATCGACTAGAAGTCAATGTTTAAATGATGGTTTATTAAGAGCACCGCGAGTGACTCCCACCATCCGTTCAAAGAGCTGGAAGACCGTCGATGTAATCAGGCTGTATGGGCCCAGGTGAAAGCCAGAGGACTCTCACTGTGGAAATACAAACGGTACTAATGTGTTGCAGCAGGCACTAGACTTCTGTGCTAAAGACGCTAGCGTAACTAACTAGATGTTTACACAGCCATCCCAACGAGGCCGGAGGGACATTCTCCGTTACATATTTATACGGATCGTAGGTGGATTGGTAACATCAGCCTGATATCCTCTGAGTGAATTATATTGATACCGATATTGGACGAGATCGGTCCCAACTGCCATGAGAACCTCCGTGTTGCCTTCCCTCTCCTCCATCCGTGTACAGTTCTCTTTGGTTCTTCACCTCCCTTGTATGCACTTGTTTCCTTACCTTTCATCTTTCTTTTCTTTCATCTCTGTCCTTTCCATTCCTCTCTGCTGGCTCTTGACAATTAGACTATATTTTCCATTTCTTTTGATACTGTTACTTTGATTAGCACATCGAGCATCCTGATGACCTTAGCCTTGGTATCACTCCACCGGAGACTGATACAGTCATCTCTCTGTTAGATCCACATCGACTGTACCTAAAGCATAGTCATACACGCTAGTTTGTGTGAGGTAGAGCGCATGTCCATCTGCCCTTTAGTTCTGGTCTGCTTCATGTTCGCACTGACTTAAAACAAATGAACCGAGATGAGCAAACATGAAGTAATACAGACCGATTGGTGACTCACTGGACAGGTGTGGTGATCGTTACCCTGCATCATCACGACCCCCGTGGGAAAATCTGATATGATTATGAGCGTTAGTACGATACTGCAAATTGACCGCATGTTATGAATAATGACTCACAGGAAGAGACAGGATGGATGTCCATCTTTAACTGTAATGTCTTTTGTTGTAGACACAAAGGATAATAAAAGATAATAAACAAAAGTAATTAATTGAATTAACTAATACAGGGGGATATAACTCTGGGATCACTGTCACGTAATTGACTTTAATCGCCAAAGAAGATGGATTGTGAAATACAAGCTCAACACACTGCTGTTAGGCACAATCCCTGCAGTTACCTGTTGACATGCATACGGTATAAATATACAGTATATCGTTTATGCAGATTGCAATCAGCAGATGGATTCAACAGTAGTTTTTAGCTTTTGAAGTCATACTAAAATCACATCTATTTTTTCTTAAACACTGCGGTTGATCCGTTTCCTGTGAGACCCTAAACCAGAGAACTCAAGTGGTCTGGGTCTGATTGTTTGGTCCGCATCAGATTTTGATTGACAGTTTTCATGCAGCCCAAATCAAACGCACTTAATAGGCAAAGAGGGTTTGTTTTGTTATTTTAAAAAAAATGATTGATCTTTTTCTGACTTAAAAAAATGAAAACAAACAAAAACACAAAAAGACACAAAGCACAGCGCACCATTTCACAACGTAGCAGAAAGAAAGACGGGGGATTCATATCTACAACTTTCAAGAACAGTCCAAAGCTGCCAGTCGACAGCAATATTGGCCCCTTCTGCCAGGAGGGTCGGGGGGGGAGGGGGAAATTGAGAACACACATGGAGTAGGATTGCGAGTCGGTCAGTCTGCAGGATATTTGAACAGAGTAAAGATAACAGCAGAGCTCATGAGTTATACAGTCAGGTCTCATCAAGAAATGTTAGAAACGACTTTCAATATTCAGGTTTTGTGAATTCCACTTGCTAAAACGAATCTATTCCGTCTTAGCAAAAGAAAGCATTTCATTGAGCCACCTCCTGACAAATGGGGGCGATGCTGACTTCCAGTTTAGTAATATTATTCTTTTAGCAACCATGCCTGCAAGCCTGCTTTTGATGGGAGGAAATTCAGGTTTTCTGGACAAGAAATAACGTGGCGACACTGTATATCTTCTGACAGCAACATCACTTCATGTTAATTGCCACAGTAACTGATGCAGAGTGTAACGGGCATCCCGTTTTCCAAGTGGCGCATATCTTAGGGAATGGAAAGTCCTTGAATATTAATGCATTTTCACTACAATTCTTCCATTGACCATTGGGAGATCAACCAGAGCTCACATGCCCGTGAGATGTCTGTCCGGCTTTAGCTAAGATGCATACAAACACACACACACACACACACGCCCACCTGCACACGCACACAGATACAGACAGGAGATATAGAGGGGAAGCTGATCAGCCACATGGAGCTGGGGAGGCATTCCAATGGGACTAATTAAAGAGATGGACCAAGTCAATCTCCCCTGGGAGTGAGAATGTGTTGCACAGCATTCTCCTCCACCGGCTCTCTCTCTCTCTCTCTCTCTCTCTCTCTCTC